TCATCAGCCTCGAGGCAGGACCGGTATTCCGACTCTGTGATCGCACCTATTCGGTGCAAGTGGAATTGCAATTGGTTCTGACCAGTCAGATACCCAGAAAGTAGCCTGATGTCATTTCTATTGGGTAGGGCAATGTTGTTTCTTTTAAAAACGTAGCCGAAAAGCCTGGCCTGTCTAAGGCCTCCCACCGCTCCCCAGTACTTACTGCGTTACGAGTGTACCCACTCAGTAATTATGGCTCTCGAAGAGGACCAACTGAGACCACAGAATGGCAGTTAGCAATCCTCCACGTGCCAACTCGTCAGCGATCTCGTTGCCTTCGATTCCGCAATGGCCTGGTACACAGCCGTGCTTCTTGGCCGCCAAAACTTGTAGCGTGTCAAATCAGTCTCTAACCAACTTGGATTTGATAGTCCTGATTGAAAGGGTTCGGATGGCTGCTTAGCTATCTGAAAAGATAACTAAAAATGCGCCCTTTAAACCCTTTTCAAGGTTTAATTTTGCGCAGTGTGAGATTGCGACTATTTCAGCCTGAAACATCATGGGCCATTTGCCCGTGGGAACTGCAAGTTTGGTGATAGGTCCAAATATGCCTGCGCTCGCTCTGTCCGCCATCCTTGAGCCGGCTGTGTACCAATGTACATATCTGAGATCAAGGGCAGGGAGCCCATTTGCCCAGTCTTCGCGATCGGGAATTATCACTTGGAATTTTCTGTAAAAGCAGACCTCCTTAGTCATGGAATAAGAGATTCTGAATATTTCCAACCCTAGCACCTTCCCAAGAATACCTGCATGAAGCTTCTTTGCGAAGAAGCCGTCGTCTTTGAAGGGTTCAAAGGACTCTATCACCCACCGTACCTTGTCCGTGTTAATGATGGAGCCAGATCTGCTGTGACTTCTCACTCTAGGGAACCTGTGTTCCAAAGAGACAGGGGTCATCAGATCATGCTCCACCGAGGAACCTGGGAAATGCACTTGAAGTAGGTGATTTAGAGTCTCCCTATCTTGCTTCCTTAGGAGCCCTATCCCATTGGAAGATGCCTTTGACAAAATTTTTTGCAGACGCGAGGCTTCAGGCAACGTTTCTATTGTTTTACAATGTCGCCTCCATGAATTTTGCTATAGTAAGTAAGACAGGCCTTATACTCGTCTTACTGATGTGTCCTTTTGGCCCTGTTGAAAAGCTTTCTGACAGTTTTGCGCTTAGCATCCAGTTCCCCGTTCCTTCAGGGAACCTTAAGTTTCATCAAGGTGGAACAAGTAACTGTGCTGTGATGGAAGGATTCCAACAGAATGCTGTTAAACAGATCCGCTGCGACCTCCATTTCGTCGATTGAGTCAGTGGTGGTTAGCAACGAGTCTGCCGTAACGATCAATCGGAAATTGATCTACTGCAGAGAGTGAGATCTAGTACCTCCTCCCTGACGGCAGTAATAAATGTTCGCAAAGTCTATGTTATTTTGTAAAAGCTATTCTAAAAGGTAGTCACCCCTTTCGTTGATATCGGAGCTGCTTCACACCGTTTGGTGGGCATGCGCATCACAACCAATAATAAACTGGCGATTTGTAAGTCGACAGAATTCGAAGAGCTGCTGCACCTCCAATGGCGGTATAGTGGGGACGGCACCAGGAAAGTAGGCGGATGCGAGGACAATTTCCTGCACCCCACCCACCGTCGACACCTCGACTACAGCCGCTGAAAGATGCCTGGAAATAAAAGGAGTAACAGGCTGGCGTTAATCAAAATGGCGGCGCGGGGAGTAACCCCAAGCCGGTCGTAGATTACCCTACCTGAACTACCCAGTCCTCTTAATTGGCCTCCGCTAAACCAAGGTTCTTGCAGCAGTGCTATTGCGAATTTGCGTTCGCTGGCTAACCTATCAATTGTGTCCGACGCCCCTTGGCATGATGTAGGTTAGCCTGAAGCACCCTTAAGGTGCTCATAGCTTCCGCTGAAGCGATGCTTTAACGAGACACTCCTTTTTGTCTCGTCGGGACCCCCTTTCCTTGGCATCACCGGTCCGTTTTGGTCGTACGGTAGTGGTGGTTTTTACTGGGTTGGAAGCCACGCCTTCTTGTCGCCCAATGGCGGCATTCAACGTGGGATGTCGAGTCACACTCGAGACCACGGATCCAGTCCCTGTTGATGGAACAGGTTGCAAAGTTGCTTGCCTGTTGCTTGGCAGTGATTTGGATCCTTGTGTCGAAGGTGCCTTGCCAGCACAGGTCTCCGTCTGCGGAATTGGTTCTGAAGCTTTCACATCTGCAGCTCCCTCTGCTGTAATGGCCGTGTGCCAGCTGCCAGCATACCCGGCGGCTCCGCTGGTAGATGGCCGCACATCCAGCTCGGGTTCAGCCGGTGCAACAGCTTCCCTAGCCTCCTCCGCAGGCTCGGTGACGTCCGCCTCTATCCCTTGCTGCTCTTTAGCTCGCAACGGCAATTTTACGTGCCCATATCTGTAGGCGATCCTACTTTTAGCCGCAGTAAGCTTTACTATCGAATCGTGGTCGAATACGATGACCAAGTGCAGAAACTTCTCCTGCACCTGTCTGCGTGAAACCTTCTAGCACAACGTTGAGAGATGGTTCTGGTCTAAGATGGTGGCCAGAACCTTCTCGTCGGTTAGCTGGGTGCTTTAAGGAAAGTAGCCCCGAATGACATGTGTCCGAGGGAAACTACTTTCCTCAACGGGTGAAATATCAAAATCTCTCTTGGCCTTGATATCTTCTGCGTGACAGACAATGGGAAGCCACCCAGCTCGAGGGACGCATCCCTCAAACTCCGACTTTGTATCAGTCCCAGATCGCTCAATCATGACATCTATTATGGATTCCAAGCGGTTGGTTGATGGGGTCAACGGGAATGAACCCTAGCTCGACACTACTCGCAACCTTACTGTAGGCAGCTTTCATTGGCCCCATATGAGCCTCTCGAGGCTTCTTTGTGACAGCGTCACGGGGGAAGTTGAGATGCTCTTGGATACTTGTAGACCCTCCTCCCTAGACTTGCCACGGCCTAGAGCTCGCTTAAAGACTCTCCTTTCACGAGAGTTGAAGTGTACGAAGCCAAAAGTAGGGTTTAGGGTTACTCCTTGCACCAATGTGCCGACTTCGGTTAGCCCTAAGGCAGCAGAGCGTACACTGAGGTCGCCGAGGATAACAGTGCTATCAGTCTCTGAGTCCGAAGAAGCTTCGGTCACCAGACTTCCAGCAGCTGAGCTCGACAAAGGTCCGGCTACTAATACCGGAGCTCCTGTTAAACAGGCTAAGTTAGACAGCCCAATGGCTTCCGAGGACCCCTCTGAGCCTCCATTCGCGTGCCCAATGGAACTACCGGAGTGATCCCACTGACTCAGCCAGTTACCTACCCACTTGCGAATTCTTGTTGCTTTTATCCACTATTTCATTTTGTTAAGCCAACTACAATCAAGCGCAGCTATTCCAGTGCTATTTAAACTTGATCACGTGGTTGTTGGTTTTGTTGGTCTTTGTTTACAATTCTATTATTAGAATGTTTAACTTTTACGTGTGCTCGTAATTAAGTAATTTCTTTTTGTTATTTTATGGCCTTATAACAATTATATTCAACAATTTTTATTGAGCTTGAGGCCGTTTCAATGAAAAACTTATTGTGTAAAAGCAACAATAATTTGAAAAAATGGTGGTAGTGAAAGCTATTTCGGAAATCCCCACATTTCCTCATCAGACTTCTTTCAGTAGGATTCTAAACGACGATCCCACTGATTCAGCCAGTTGCGTACCCACTGTGCTAAGTCCGCCTTGTGAATTCTTGCTGCTTTTTTTCACTATTTCATTTTGTTAAGCCAACTACAATCAAGCGCAGCTATTCCAGTGCTATTTAAACTTGATCATGTGGTTGTTGGTTTTGTTGGTTTTTGTTAATAATTCTATTACTAGAATGTTTAACTTTTAGGTGTGTTCGTCCTTAAGTTATTTGTTTTTGTTATTTTATGGCCTTATAACAATTATATTCAACAAATTTTATTGAACTTGAGACCGTTTTTAATGAAAAACTTATTGCGGAAAAGCAGCAATAATTTGGAAAAATCGTAGAGGTGATAGCTATTTAGGAGATCACCACATTTCCTCATCAGACTTCTTTCAGTAGGATTCGAACCGACGATCCCACTGACTCAGGCAGTTGCCTACGCACTGTGCTAAGTTCGCCTTGTGAATTCTGGTTGCTTTTTTCCACTATTTCATTTTGCTAAGCCAACTACAATCAAGCGCAGCTATTCCGCTGCAATTCACTTGATCATGTGGTTGTTGGTTTTGTTGGTTTTTGTTAATATTTCTATTATTAGAATGTTTAACTTTTTTTTAGGTGCTTAAGTTATTTGTTTTTGTTATGTTATGGCCTTATAACAATTATATTCAACAATTTGGCTTGAGGCCGTTTTTTAATGAAAACTTACTGTGGAAAAGCAACAATAATTTGAAAAAATGGTAGAAGTGAAGTTATAAGTCCATAAAATAACAAAAACAAATAACTTAAGAACAAGCACACCTAAAAGTTAAACATTCTAATAATATAATTATTAGTAAAAACCAACAAAACCAACAACCACATAGTCAAGTTTAAATGGCACTGGAATAGCTGCGCTCGATAGTAGTTGGCTTAACAAAATGAAATAGTGGAAAAAAGCAACAAAAATTCACAAGGCGAACTTAGCACAGTGCGTAGGCAACTGGCTGAATCAGTGGGATCGTCGGTTCGAATCCTACTGAAAGAAGTCTGACGAGGAAATGTGGTGTTTTACAAAAAGACTATATCTTCTACCATCTTTTCAAATTAATGTTGCTTTTCCACAATAAGATTTTCAGTAAAAACGGCCTCAAGCTCAATAAAAGTTGTTGAACATTATTAAAATAAAAAAAATTAAATAATTTACAAGAACTGCTAAAATTTATTATCAAAATGGCCCAAGTTTTTTTTTTACAAAAAGGAAAATTGCCCTCTTCTTAGTGTTTGGGCGTAGAGGGCAAAGAGAAGGTTGAATTTTTCGGTAGAAACGAAATCGTCATTAATAAAATTAATATAAAGTTGAGTGACACAAAAGTACACGGTTCCGGGGGCTTGACCATATACATCAGGTAACAAATGGTATGACGGAAACATAACACGCTCCTTGTAATATAAATATATCTGTGGAGTTTTGACAAAACAACCTAACTCGAGATCGGACAATTTTCCACTTTTTCAACCATATGTATAAGTTTTAAAAGCGCCTCTTTCTGTCTTATCAGCGTGTTTCTAGATAGTGTAGATCGGAAGATATAGAAGCCCCCAAATCAACCTATCTCGCAATTTTTACAAGCTGCTTTTGACAAAAGAACCCATATCGAAATATGCTGCAGGGCACAAAGGAAAATATCATAACATAATATTGACAAAAGAACCTATTTGAATATGGGTTTCCAATAGTTTTCTAAAATTATTTTGACAAAACAACCTATTTGCACTCACGTTCTTTTATCAAATGGATAAACGAAAAGAATACAATCCCTTCTAAAGTTAAGTTGTTTTAATAGCCATTTCATCATTAGCATTCACTGTGACAAAACAACCTATATTAACATGAGTGCTTTAGTGTAGTGGGAATTAACGAAATAAGAGGAACCTATATCAAATCAAGTGCTTTTGTCGTGTGCATGTGTAACAAATTAAGACGTTTTTAATGAAAATAAGTTGTTTCCTAATATGGAAAAACATAAACAATGCACAGAGGAAGACAAAAAACAAAGGTTCCATAGTTTTGGAGGAGCATTGACTCTCTCGCAAGTGAATACATTGACTACAAGAATTATAGATATACAAGATTACGACAATTATCAGCTGTTTTGAAGGTACCTACGTCACGGCTCCAAAGAGTTTGTCAATTTGTATGGAATTTTCAATGATTTTAGAATTTTTATACTTTCACTGCAAAAATACACCTTTGTTCAACTGCCGATACTTAACGAATCCAAGTAAGCCATTTGTGAAAACTCACACTATCAATGACAGATATGTCAGTTACGACAAAATGAATAGTACTCTCTTTCTGTTTTTCATTCAAGTTGTGTTTAAATTAAATTAAATAAAATGTCCCACACAAGTGCCCAAGATATTGATGAAGAGATTGATATTGATAAAGATCCTTTCCATGAATCTGATTTTGATGACTCCGATTTTGTCCCGGAGACGGATTCCGATCTTAACACCACTACGCAGGAAATGGCTCCAGATATTGAGTCCAATGTAAGTAATTGGGATTTCACCGAAATTGATGAAACCCAACTATTCGAACTTCCAACCACATCAGCAGTTAAAAATAAGAACAGGCGTAAAAAAAACTTAGGAAAAGAATATGTGACCAATAAAAAGAAAATCGTCCCTGCTAAAAAAAATTAAAGCACTTTCAAAATGCAGAAGGTTGTGTAATACTCACCTAAATTTTGAGGAGCAAAAGATGATTTTTAAACTGTACTGGAACTTGGGTGATTACAACAAACGACGGCAATATCTTTCAGGCTTAATTGATGTTGAATTTAAGAAAACGCATACAATTAATAACGTTGGATATCGACAATATAACTATTTGTATAATTGTGAAATTAACGGTCAAAGGAGAAGAGTATGTAAGCAATGTTTTATGAAAATATATGCCGAAACTGCTCAAAGTATTAAAACTGTTACTAAGTGTAAAGTTAAAGAAAGCTCCGTTGAAATTGTTCAGTGCGATAAAAGAGGAAAAAATTTTCCAGAACTCAAACTGTCGACGGAAAAGTACCAGGAAGTTTTAGATCATATTAATAGTTTTCCAAAATATGTGAGCCATTACAGCCGTCGTCATACAAAACAACTATATCTTCAGTGTAATTTAAGCATGGCAGAATTATACAGATTATACACAAACAAATTTTCTCAACCTGTTTCGTTGTCAACATATCGAGAAATATTTCAGAAGCTGGACATTAAGTTTAAAAAGCCGCATATTGATGTATGCAACAAGTGTGAGACTTTAAGAATAGATATTAAAAATGCATTAACTGAGGATGAATAGCAATGCTTAAATTAAAACAACAAAATCATCACGACGAGGCAGACATGGCATATGAATCTAAAAAACATGATAAAGAACTGTCTTCGAAGGACAAATCTATCAAAATGTATACTTTTGATCTGCAGCAATGTTTGCCAACACCACACTTAAATGCGGCAATGTTCTTCTACAAACGACCATTGTGGACATTTAATTTTACGATGCATGACGGAGCAACAAACAGAGCGAATTGTTATATATGTCCAGGGCAAAACCGAAATTCTTATATTTTCGCCATGTTTGAAAAGGTTTTAGAGGATCATCAAACTATAGAATTAATTGATCACAAGTTTCTGGTTGTTGGACACACGCATATGGAATGTGACACGGTTCATTCCCAAATAGAAAAAAAGAAGAAAAAATTTGTGAATTCCATACATCACCCACATGACTGGGCTACTTTAATAGTAACTACAAATCACAAATACAATGCAATCGAGATGGTTCAAGATCAATACTTTGACTTCGGTAGCCTATTAAAGAACAAATACACGTGGAGAAATACTAATACATTAGGTGCGTGTAACACTACTTATGTTTATATATGTTTAGTCTAATTTTTATTTTTTGTTTTGTAAAGGTGACAAATTTGAATGGAAGCTAATACGTTGGATGCGATATGAGAAATCTAAGTCTGGAATTTTACAGTACAAGCTATCTTTACAGCCGGACGAGGACTTCAAGGAACTAGACATAACACAGCAGCGACGGAAAATAACAAATTTCGAATTAAAGAAATGTTATTCTGCTCCTTTGCCAATATCTTGTAATAAAAAACCTGATTTACAGTCCGTTCTGCCATTTATAAATGCAGAGTTTCATAATTTTTACAATAACTTGCACGTTGAAGGTGAAGAACAATTGGAAGATGATTGGGATATTGACGAATATGATTAGCTGTAGAGTGAATTATTCTTTATTTCTTCTGAATTATAAAAATTAAAGCAATTTAATATAAATGTGAACTACAATATGAACTATTTCTTATTTGTATTTTTAATTCAATTTATTCCAACTTTTCTTTTTCATACCTAAAAATACATGTAATTGGTCTAATAGAAAGCATAACTTTTTATAATATTCGTTTGAAATAAACTGAACTATATTTAAGAAAGTAACATATGTCACTGAATTTTTCTTATTTCGTTTTAATAAAAGTACTAGTCCCGACAAAAGTTGCGAATTATTTGTTACTTTTCAGTACGAAAAAAGACTTTATCTAGAGAAGGGTTGATTTTTCGATCAAAAATAATTTTGACAAAACAACACATCTCGGTTTTTGGACATTTTCTCGGCAGCAGTTATATCTGGAAGAAAGATGCAAATTGGAAAATAAAGGTATTTAAATTCTCCACCATAAAAATAGGTTACATTTGATTAGATATGTTCTGGGACGATTCTGTGACCATATAAAAGTGTTTTTTGGTCCTCGTGTAAAATTCAGTTTTTCGACATTGGTTGTTTTGTCAAAATTCCACAGATATGTTTATTCCCTTCATTGGAATCTAAAATTAGAACAAGTTAATCTTAATAGTAACTTTCGAGTTTTTCTAAATTGTCCTTGCTTGGGAGGAGGGCGTGGTTTGCAATCAACTTAACAAATCTTCCAGATGGTGCTTAAGGAGGCTATGGACAATGTGTATTTCGAATTTGAACAGGTTGTATATGCCCTGCAAAAATTTGAGGACCAGGTGGTCCACTGGGTCGTAGTTTTAAAGTATGAGCACAAGGACCAGGTTGCATACTAGTAACTTGTTATGCTGACCTGGACCACTTCAAATGTAAAAAACTGATATATGTGTTGAACACCACCTCTTCGTGGCCGATCGGCAATATGATTCGGTTGCCGAATGTGCCATGGTTCAAAAGGAGTAGTTGTCTAGGTGGTCCCATGTTACGCGGTGGTGGACCAAAAGTGGTCCCATGTTATGCAGCGTTGGACCAGAGGTGGTCAGGTCCAATGACATCGCAATGTTAATGTAACCATATTTTCTCCATATATTTGGACCATTTTGGTTACTAGTGTTGGTTACAAGGTAGTGTGGTCCTGTACTAGTACTTAACCTAGTCCCACTTTTTGCAGGGTGTGGTTTTTGAGATAAACATATATATATGTATATACATATAGGTGTAGGTATGATATAAATGGGCGGAGACACGTCCATTTAAAAACATTGATTAAAAATTAAGTTTTTTCCTGGAAGCCATTTTTAACGCCAACTTGGAGCTCGTATTTATAAGGAATTAATTAGGCACACTGCGTAAAAGTTCCGAAAATCCAATACATTGTACATACATACATACCAATTCAACGCCGAAGTACCATTTTAGAAAAAAAATTCTTACGAAAATAACGGTTTACTAAAATAAAAAATGTAATGTTAAGGAGCTATACGGAACCTATTTTCATGTTGTACTCGACCATAGCTTACACTCGGTTTTGTTTTGGGTGTATTTCGTGACTTATTTTTTTAACATGTATTGTGAAAAATACTCTCGTACAATTTCCGTAGGGTAAAATTTCATTTGAACTTTTATGAGGCGAATGCACTTATACCTTAACTACCAGTTACTGTGAAACTGATACGAAATTTCCAAGGAGTACGTACTTACACGCAATACAATTCAGCAAGCAGCAAAGAGCAAGTGGGGAAAACGAAGTAAATGTAAAGCAGACAATGACCAACACTCCCACGTGAATGGAGTTTAAAATTTATATGTATAAAGCAAATTTATACAGTAGTTATAAACGAAGCAAATAAAATCCTGTAATACATACATACACATATATCAGTTGTGGAGCGGAGGGCAACTAATGAATGTTGATATTATTTACTCAGTCGAAAAATGCATGAAAAGTTGCATACCGGCAGACATTTGAGTTTTTCGGTAGCAGAGAGAACTCCATGGAAGGAAATATGTACATAAGTAAAAGCACGCCACTTGCTGGACACCATACAAAATAAATATTGATTACATACATACTTAGGGCCGTTTTCTCATCTAACCTTAAGATTACCGGCGACTTTATCGTCTCGATATACGAGTTTTCGTTTTCTTATCAGCTCATTAATTTCTCGAATCGATAAACTGTTCCTCACCCGAGGCAACCTTTAAAAATTTTTACCCAACTTTAAATTTTGGTTTGGTTTTTGTTCATGAGTCAGATATAAATATTAGATATATTTGCTTATGTTGCATTGCCAACCTTTGAAATTTTATGACGAATGTAGTGAAGTTTCACTCTCGGAAATGTAGTGAAGTTTTACTCTACGGAATAACAAATTTATTTTTACCGGTAAGATAAGAAAACGAAAACACTTTAAAGTGAGGAACAATTTATCTGCCCTGTTAGTAAAGGCAACTTTACTGCTTACACTAGAAAACGGCCCTTAGGGTATTTTTCATATTTGGATAAGTATGCAAAGAAGAATATAATTACTCACTTTAAATGCGAAACGCTGCTTTAATGGCAGTCTTAATAAATCTTGTCTTCAAATGTATTTTGAGCAAGGTGGCAGCTGTTGTAGTTTTAACCTTTCAATTTCGAATGGAGTAATGTAAGTAAATTTGAATACGAATGCGAATTTACAAGTATAGACAGGAAAATGTGGCGATTATGAATACATTGTGTGACAAAAATGATATCAATAACCAAACGGATTATCATTATTAATAACACTTTATTTTATTTTATATTAGCCGTCCTCGTATACGGACGTTCCGATACCATCAAAGTATCGATACCTACTTAAATAAGATTACTCAAATCGCTATTTCGATACTACTTAAATGAGTAAACCGAATGTATCGGTACCTACTTATATCGATAATTGTTCATCCTTTTATATGCAACAAAGCGAAAGTAACTTTCAGGCGTTATCTGTGACATTCCTTTTGCGACACTTGAGTGGAAGATCGACCTATCTAGGCAGCCAGTTCGAAAACGCCCTATCTTAGAAAATTTTTCAAAAGCGCCCTATTCCAGAAATTGATTCAAAAAGCCCTATCTCAGAAAACGTTTCAAGAACACCCTATTTAAGAATTCGGTTGAAAAGCGCTCTATTGAAGTAGGTCGTTTTTGAAACAAATTCTGAAATAGGGCGTTCTTGAAAAGGTTTCTGAGACAGGGCGTTTTCAACCTGGTTGCCGAGACAGCTAGATCTTCCACTCAGGTGTCGATATGTATATTTGTTCATTAGTAACGCTAGAGGTAATACGATTACTTAGACAAAAAATTCAACCTTTGAAAGGTTCCCACAAAACTTTACGGCTTCAAAGTATTGTTTGCACTTTGCTGAAGTATCACTAACGTTGAAAAAATATATCCCCACTTAAGATTTTGGCAGTGCCATTGCTTAAAGCAATTATTTTTCATAAAAAATGACGCTATGCATAGTTTCTTCCATAGAAAAAATATGGCCTTCAAGATATGGCACCAAGATATGATACCAAGTAGATATCGAAACAACGATTCGAGTAAAAAAGTAGTTGGTATCGAAACAAAAGTATCGCGTACATACTCGTATTAACTTGTATCGGAACATCCCTAGCCTCGTATGCGCGAGGCTTCGCCACGCGCTGAATGTGCACATAAAGGTCTGATTATGCATACTTCGCACAACCATTTGTACCAGTGCAATAGACTTAAGAAAATGTGAAGCAAAATCTCTCGCCGTCGCCAATGCGTAAAGGCCAGTAAATCTTCCGCGAAATCTTTCTCTCGAATACTCCAAACGCCGCCTCATCGGTTGTTGTCATTGTCCGTGCTTCTGCGCCATATACCAGCACGAAAATGATGAGTGACTTATAGAGTGTGGTTTTCGTACGTCTAGGCAGGACTTTACTCCTGAATTGCCTACTCAGTCCAAAGTAGCACTTGTTGGCAAGAGTGATTTTGCGTTGGATTACAATGCTGGCATTATTATCGGTGTTAATGCTGGTTCCCAAGTAAACGAAATTCTCTACTTTCTCGAAATTGTAACTGCCAACAGTGAGGTGGTGCCAAGGCGCGAATGTGCTAACTGTTTGTTTGATGACAGGAGATACTTCCAGACCAATTCGCTTTGCTTCCTTATCCAACTTGGAAAAGGCAGAACAGACTTCGCGGTTTTTGTTACCGATGATGTCGATGACATCGGCATAAGCCAGCTTATATAGTAGATTGTTCCTATGCGGTTAAGTTCTGCAGCTCTTATTATCTTCTCCACATAGACATAGCGGCGTAAAAAAAATCACTTTAAAAAACTTTCAACAAAATTACAAATTTTATAATTTTTTTTTGTTGCACTACTTTAAACTCTTCCCATGACCGTAAATATGAAATTTTAGCGAAAATTCTTTTTGATATGGGTTAGTTGGATATATTGCGATGAATCTGCGCAGCTACTTTTTTAGAATTAGTGAGTCCGTTTTTTTTTTATTTTTGGCAGCTGTAGTCCCATTGTGGGCCGTGTAGGAAACTCCTTTTAGTGCTGTCGAAAGCGGCTTTAAAGTCGACAAATAGGTGGTGAGTGTGGATCCTTTCCTCGCGGGTCTTTTCCAAGATTTGGCGTATTGTGGATACCTGGTCTATAGTGGATTTGCCAGGTCTAAAGCCAAACTGATAAGGTCCAATCAGGCCGTTGGCTTAATACACTAGAAAAGACCTTATAACCTATGCTTAAAACGCTGATACCGCGGTAGTTGGCGCGAATGGCGGGGTCTCCTTTCTTGTGGATTGGGCAGATCACACTTAAATTCCAGTCATCGGGCATGCGTTCATCTGACAACATTCTGCATAAGAGTTGATGCATGCACCTTATAAATTCCTCGCCACCGTACTTGAATAGCTCAGCTGGCAGGCTATCAGCTCCATCAGCTTTGTTGTTTTTTAGCCGCGTTATTGCTATGCTTACCTCGTCATAGTCAGACGGTGCTACCATTCGGTAGGTTGTAAAAGTGTTCCCTGCATTGTTG